CAAACTTCCTGACAATCATGGATTTTCCAGATTTGTTGCTACCTGGTAAAAGTGCTTTGCATCAGCCCACACCAAGGCCAAGGTTGGTTTCAATAATAAAAGTTACCAAAGCTTGTGGTCTGTGATGGGGTGAGTGGATCCACAGAGCTCACAATCTAGCTCTTGGTCGTCACAAAACCCAGTGGAAATAAAAGGAATACTTTTCGAAGACTGTGTTTCTGAAATGAAACAAGTGACAACATTTCTTCTGAATTGTCAGTCCTTTCAAAATTCCATGTACCTACTAATTTAAATAAATCCATTAAATTGCTAATAGTGTAACTACACTTCAGTTTCCATAAGATTGATTAAAAATCTGTTATGAAAACCCTTTAGAATGGGTTCTTTATAACATCTAAGTCATTATTATAAGACCATCAATTTGTGTTCCAAACTGGCTCACTCTTGGGACGGAATTCTCCAATAATTAGATTCATATCTTAATGACATTGGCTCTGACATAATCTGAACAAGATCTTGATGAAGTTATCTATTATATCTATTAAACTACTTCTTTAAGATTGAAGGAATACAGTGGGTCTGAAAAACCAAGGGCCACTAAAACAAAGCTAAATCTGGAAACAAAACGTGTTTCATGAAGTTTAAAGTTTACATTATAGTGACTTCAATATTATTTTAAACTCCAAAGAAATCATTCAATATTATTTTTTATTAACAACTATATTTTTTCTGCTTGATTCAAAATTTAACAAGGCACTGTTCACATTGTTCCTCACTAGTATTTGAGCAACCCAAAAAACTTGTACCTTGCTTTCTTAGATATGGAAGAATGGATAGAATTCTCTCAGCCAATTTATGTAAAACCCAAGTCATTAATTATCACAACCATTACAAATTTCTAATAAGAACTATTATTCTGCAGTAGAATTTTAAGATGCTAAGATGTTAAAAATTGTGTTTACAAAATTTCAAATCAAGGTTCAATGCTTGTTTCCATGAATAATTTTTCATTATAGACCCCTAAAATAAGAACTTATTTATGTCATTCAAGCTTGTTAAAAACAACTGATATTGATGATTTTTGTACATAAATTGAGAGAATTTTCTTGATGTATTGGAATATCTGCTAGTATTAACCTTCCATATCATCACTCAATCAGAATTAATGTTCAAGAAGAGATTGCATCACACCTTCCCAATAAAATAAAATAAATAAAAAAACACAAACACACACACAACCATGAATTTTTTAATAACAAATTCAGCCATAATAAAATAGAATGAAATATAGAAGGAAATGTATTTTTTACCATCAAACCAACAATTAGGCCAAGAAGGTAATAACAGAAATAAGAATACCAATACTAATATCACATGGGATCTTTATGAGCAAAGAGATATAAAAATTGCAGTTCCCCCTCCTAGGGGCAAATATCTACTTCACATGATGAGGAGAACGTGGCACTTGCATTCTGTACACCAAGTACTCCTCATGTGAAGTACATAATTGCCCATAGAATATCAATATTACATATATATATACACACACACACACACACAAATATATACATATATCAATGAGCAAATTTTAAGAGATAAAATTGTATAACACAAAATATGCAAACCTGATTATGGAGAACTTTGGTGAGAAATGCAGACAACTTTATCATCTACCATTTGCTTTGTTGTTGTTGTGTCTGTACAACATGAGTTGGTGATCCTTTTTCTGACATTCCTATGGACAACATAGAGCTTTCACCTTTAAAAGGTAATCCATTTTTCTTCTACACACTATTGTTCCTCATTACATTTGTCATCATCAGAGAGCAATAATTGGATCAAACAATGAAAGTATTTACAGTACCTGGAGTGTAAGTAACTTTATCTGCAGGGTTAAGAGAAGTTGCCTCTGTAACATTCTTTGTTGGAGAGACAGAACCTGACCCAGTTGGTTGAGAAGTGACTGGAGCACCACCTTCCTCATCACTCAGATCTTCCTGTAACATTCAAAAACAAAGAATATTAACATTCTGTAATCATATAAAGCAAAGAAATATTTTTGTTTCTTTAAATTCAAGGAGAAAATCCAATCATTCAAGCCAAGACCATATTCTATATAGTATCAGCAAAATAATTTGCAGGGATTCCAAGCCATAATTTGCTGTACAGACCACTTACACCTTATCCCAATTATAAGCATTATTAATATTACCAGAAATGTTTCTGTTCAGTAATAAGTCTCTTCCGATTCCTTTGTGAGACTTCAGTAATGTTTAATGTTGAAACATGTACCTAAAAAAACTATGAATACTGTGCATAATGTAAAATCTCTGAGAATTAATAAATGTTTTTAAAATAAAAGTTATCTTAAATGTTTTTATGACATTTAATTATGTTTGTGACTATATTAACTTCTTGATTGTGTTTGTGACTATATTAAATTCTTTAAGGGCTGAAGTTACATTTGCCCTCTCATTCTCTCTCTTAATATTACCAGATTTGGTACAGATTGCATTATCTAATCCTATACGAAGAGGTAAAATAATGTTACACTTTACATAAACAAGAAATGTTGACTTACTAACTCATTATCCTCACCTTAGTTTCTTCACCTTGTGAGATTCCTGCACATCCTATCAATATTTTCCAAGATAATTAAGTAGCATGCTATCACATAAATTAACATGCTTTTGTAGAAATCATGCTGAATTTCACACTCACACAAGCAGTAAATTTATATGGCAATGAACAATAAAACATTTGTATCAATTCATGAAGAATTGATCAATATTATAACAAGAATTATTTTAAATTGTGGATCACTGGAACAAACACCTAAATGTTTTCGCAACTGAATTTAAAACATAGTAAATAAATAGAATCAAATATTTTTGATCTGAATATATGGTAAGAATGGCAACAAATAATACTGCTGGTTAGGGCCACCTTCCATTAAAAGCTCACACAAGTTTAGAGGCCAATTTGCCTCGGTTGCATCGGAACTGTCATTTGAACTGCCATTTGTCGTGTTATGACATTTTGCACAACATTCTAACTCTAGTAGGTATCAAGCAGTGGTAATTTCTCAATAAAGGTGCAAGTCCCAGTGATTTAAAAAATGTTTGGACTGAGTATAAAGTCTGTCTTCACTTTCATTACCAAAAGAAATGGGAAAAACAATTGAAGAGTTGAGAGTAACAAGTTGTTAGAGTACTAGTGATATTGTAATATGGTACTGAGCACCTCATACTATTTGCAACGGTTAAGTAAAATGATTTTAATTATAATGCAATTAATATACTAAGAGTATATTAGCCATCTCTTGCAAAACTATCTTCACCAATAGATTTGCAACATAGCAAACAAGTGTGTCAATTTCCAAACATCTTGTAAGACACACTTCTTAAGAAAATTATCTAAAAGCCTTTTTACCTTTAAATACTTAATTTCCCAAACTCATGAACATACATTGTAAAATTAATTAACTTTACACAAAATGTTGCAGAACCAAAATTTGAGAACACTTAACTACCGTGCTGGCTTATTTTTAGTTACTGTAGTACTAACATACAATGACATTGTACACGTAGCACTAGTAAACCCATTTTTTCTTCACATTTCTGAAATGTTTGCCTTCCTAATAGTTTAATTACCATGAGGTTTTTATAGCAGTGAAGATCTTCATTAATATAAAAATTATAAAGACACAGTTGGAACAAATTTCAAGGTAATTTAAGGGTTTTTGAAAGTTGACCATTTTTTGCTCACTATTCTTCAAAACATAAAATTTTTAAAAAATTTCGAAGTTTCTTAGCTATAAATGCATTAAATAATGAAATGAACATACAATGTAAATATTTGCTTGCTTTGTAAAGAACAATGTGCAAGACGTTAAAAATTTTTTTTTTTTCTTTTGAGAATTCAAAATTTGAAACGAAAACAGCACTTATATAAATGAATTCAATGTAATGTGCTTTATCCTCACAAAAAGCTTAAAGAAATTGGGAACCAATTTAAAAAAAATCTATGTATTTCTGGATAATTGGAATGGTTTGACTGAAAATTACACAAAATAATAATAGTAATAAACTGTACATTATTTAATATAGAAGAATGGATTGTATACAAAAATTTCTATCTTCAATATTGAAAGTGTAGGACAGCTCAAATAATAAATTTGACGAGTGCAAGAATCAAATAATAATCAAAAGTAAAGTTTTGAGAAAAACATTTTTATATTATTTCAAATATAAAATGCATCACATTTTGCTTGCGCAAGGTAAAGGAAGGGAACAATGTGAACATTTCATCAAATCTTAAATGCAATAGCTTCAGTAGAAATAAATAAGGGTTGGATTTATCTGGTTCTTGCACTCAAAATATTTACAATGGGTTCAAGCAAGAATAATTGGATATGAATGATTTATTTCCATGGTTTTTATTAAAAATACTTACAGATATTTAACTTTAAAGTTTTAATATGCAACAAATGAACCTTTTTGAAGAAATGTCTGATGATATTAATTTTATGCACCAAAGGAATGTTAGGCACTGTAAGACACGTCGGTGTGTGTTTCAGATTCCTCTTTTGGATTTTTGTTCTCTTTACCAAGTATTGTCGTAACAGTCAATGTGTAGAGGTAGAATGTACTTTTGCGACAGTTTCGTAACTTTATACTACTTTTTAGAATTCAGTGGAAATTCCTCAGCATTTGTTTTGGGCAAACACAACTGCGGGAGCTGCTGCGTTGCTTTAAAAATGCAAAATTTGGAATTAATAATACCACTATGCTCAAGAGAAAAAGGAACATTTTTTCCTTAAATGAAGTTTCAATATCTACTAATTCTGAAAGACTCAGTTGTATTGTTGATGCCTTCTTGAAGAATTGTAAATTAATAGCATATACTGATTCACTCTAACAACTGAAAACATCTGAACAGCTGATGCTACTCTGTCACACCAGTCTTCTGAGACAGAGACATATTCCCCTTTTCCCCTTTCTGTTTGATTTTCTCAATTTGAGAAAAAGCTCTAACACAGGACATAAATGAATACCTTGGAAGGTTAGGAAAGTGGTGATGTATTTAAAAAAAACTTTCCAAAGTATAAGAAAGCTTAAAAATTCGGCCATCAATATATTCTTGATTTGCCCAGTTCAGTTGTCACAGACGAGGTGAAGTGATTTAACATTTAAAAGCACATAGTATGTCCATATACTGTTTAAAAATTGACACATTCATTTGAAACTCTTCTCTCTTTAGTTTCATCATACATATACATTTTATAACATTCCGTCTTACATGAATAGAAACCCATGGTACAAACACATATTTGGCGCAAGTAAAAGATATCACTGTCATTTTCATTTTTTGTCTATTTCTGTCCCATTGATCTTCATTTTTTGTCCACGATCAGTTCAGGTCCAAGTACAAGTGAATAACTTCGGCTATTATTTGGTTCTTGCAATCGAGAGAGTAAGAAATACATGTGTGTTTATGAGCTTTGGGAGTTATCCTTTTTGTGGTTGTAGCTGGCTTCTACCAAATAAGAGCAGTGAGATATATACATGAACTAACTGGAGGTTGTCTCTCTTATCTGTCAATTTTTAAAGGACAGATTCTGCAGCATAATTTCCATGACTAATCTTTCTTGTGAATGTGGTGCTACGAGCTGGTCTCTATTTGTGTAGAAATATGTTCAGGACATTGTTGTTTATTTTATTCCACTATAGAATGTTTAGAATACATTTAGTACATGCATTTATTGAAGTAATGTAATAAAGAATGCCTATTTTGCAAGAATACATTCTTGTCATTAAGTTACAATCCATGTCATAACATGAAAGAAAGCCAGTTTCTTTTTCTCACTAATGTTGTCAACTAACAAAGAGTGAAAGAAGAAAAAAATAGCATTTGTACCAAATGTGGAGTTGCTGCAGGCAATTTCACAGAATTTTGCAGATAAAACACATACACATATCTCTTAGTATCAACACTCTATGGTTATAATTCTGATAGTACTTTATTAAAATTTTTAATGTTACCATTGATTAATTCAAAACTTTTATGACCACATGAAAAAACAATTTTTTTTATCCCCTAATAACACTTTAGTTAAGAATTTTCTTATTTTTGTCTATGTATATTTACTTAGTCTTACAGCAGATACAGAAATATCTGCATATATTATAACTCCATATATACAGAAAAAGTGGAATCCCTCTTTTCATTGTCGCTAAAACCCCCATTTGAAGGTTTTAAAATTTGGTATCTTTACACAACTGAATTAATGAACCACGTTACTAGAGGCACTGTGAGGCATTTTGAAAAAATACAGCGCCGTTTATATTAGTATTACATCACACTCACCCACAGTACCTTACATTTAATTCTTTGAATTAACAGTGCCATCCTTACCTTATCTTCCTGGAAGAGCATCTGTCATGGTAAGACATAGAAGTTGGTGTAATGAACTTGCCCCCTAAGAAATGAGTATTTTGATTGCTTTGCGAAACTGAGCCCAGTGCTAGCTCAAGACACCATTCCCCCCCCCCCC